AAATAGCGATGGCCTCCACCTGATAGCGATGGCCTCTACCTAATAGCGATGGCCTCCAACCTAATAGCAATGTCTTCCAACCTAATAACGATGGCCTCCACCTAATAGCGATGCTTCCAACTGTCATTATGGGAATAGTTTTTTCTTTATGCTAACGGTTCTTTTTTTAATGCTGGATTTGGGTGGGTTCTTCTTTTTGGATGACAACACATCTCATGCATTGGTCTCAGGCGTCTTCAGCAATTTGTCCAACAGTGTCCTCCACCCGTATAGTTACGGATGTAAAACAAATAATATCAAATAATGATCCTGCTGGTTCAAGTAGCGACCTCAGCGGCCGCTAGACCCTCCGGTGTTTTGAGGAGACCCTCCGCGGACAACCGATGCCACACGCCGTCACCTTCAACGTCATCCTCGTCTTGTCCAGGCGATACTCGTGGCCTTGGGAAGATGGACCCCGGAGGATCTCGGCTCGGGAAGAAGAAGCTGGTCCAACGACTCCTACTGTTACTGTTATGTGTGTGTTCAATAAATCAATGATGATGTTCTCATATCAGTTATGTCTGTTGGTATGGCTTCGGCGATGGAAGGACTTGGGATACCTCACAAAGATCCTTTCTGCACTAAACCTCGCTTGACGAATTGATGGTCCAAACCATTCGTGCACCGTTGGAAAGGATCGGCCATCAAAGACGAAGGCACGAGCAAAACTGTGTCTGAGAGACTCTCAAGGATCCAATGTGGGTATGATTTCTATGCCTGTTTGGTATGATCTCAATGAACCTACTCACTCATCACTCATCTGAAGATAGATGATCGATGCGTTTCACCGATGGAGCCAATGCGATCTCTTCGTCTGGCTCTTCGTCGAGATGTCCGGGAGCACCGCAGCTCGGCCGAGGGACGGATCTGGTTCAACCTCCTCAAAAGTTTGTACCTCGTGGAGTGGAGGTGGGCGTGGCAATGGGCGAAAGGATCAGTTTTTGGTCAAGCAAAGGAAACGAGGTGGAAGATTTGCCAGTGGATGAAAAGGCTTTTCAAAGGATCCAATATCCCGACTTGGGGACGTTCAACCGGTTCTCTTGTTCTGGTTTATGTCTCAGATCTTCCTGGCAAGAAGTCTGACAGTAAAACCACGAGACTTGAAGCCCAAGAGAACAGTCCAGAGGCAACTCGTGAAGTCTCAAGGCCCAAGGGGTCGGACCAAAGCATGTCCCGCCCTCTCAGCCACTCTGACCACCCAAATTGGGACTGCCCGAATCATCACCGTGGTCGTTTATGACGCTTCTTTGGAGATGAAAGCCGTTTCACTTGGCGGCTCTTCTCCAGTCTGGAAACCTCTGAGCTTTTCACAGAGTTGTGGAACTTTTCTCCAGCGCCCTTTTTAGTGAGCCCTTCTCGTCCAAAGACCCTGCAAATCCTCTGGTGTACAATCTCCTCACCTTGCAAAAGTTTATGTCTTTCATGTCCCAGTGAAGACTATGAGGACCTTCATCTCAAGACAACGAGAAAAGAGGAGGGTGTTGTCAACACCAGCAGGTGTTTTCGCCTCTCCCGTGCGGTTGACCGATTCAGCCCAAGCAACTGCCATGGGCTTGTGTCCCAGTTGAACTGCCACAAGGAATTCCGGAAGACCTGTCGACGAGGCTTCTGCCTCACCCGAATGGATGAAAAAGGTAGACGATTCTGGA